AAATTTCTGGTTGTAATGAAAGTTTTAGACAAAAAAAAAAAAAAAAAAAAAAAAAAAAAAAAAAAAGCAGCTCTTAATAAAGTTAGGGAAAAAACATGAAAGCAATATCTTTAGAGCAGGAAGTAATCACCCACCCTGAAGATATTGCTTCCATGTTTAAAAATATAATGGTGTATGGTCAGATGTCATGAACATATGTAGTCAAGATCACATGCTGCAGTCAGTATTCAGAAGTTGACAAATCATGCATTAGGAGCAGCATTGATATGGATGGCACTGTGAAGCAAGTGCAGCAGTACATTTTCGAGAACTCTGCAGCATTTCCCATTTCTTGTTATATGAAATGTTACAAAGCCCACTATTTTCAAAATTATGCACAAGATGGCTACAGAAGCAACTGACATTCGAATACACTGCAAAGTATATAGACTTAGCATTAACTTTTTTTTTTTTTTGCAGCAGTGCCCAAATGATGGCCTTGATTCAGAACTTGGTCATCACTAATGATGAAATATAAGTTGCATATTTTATTAGAGAAAGCAAACAGCAATCTACACATTCGCATTATAGTGGATAGCCAATAGGGGAAAATATGTTTATGCTTCATTATGGGACAAACAGGGAAATCTACTTGACTTGCTGGCCGGAGGTAAAAACTTGAACATTGTTTATTACCATGAAACATTGTGATAGGCTATTCAAAACAATAAGACAAAACAATGCTGGCTCAATGTGTACAGTAACAAATGACCTCATACAGTTGACTGCACAACAGATCTGGTAGACGCAATTGAAGATGTTTGAATATCTGCCATGTAGTCCCAAACTCATTCTCACCGATATCCATCTTTTCTTACATCTCGAGAAATTTGTCTAGTCAGCATTTCTGAAGCCATGCAAATGTGCAGGAACTTGTCACATATTGGCTCCAAACATAAAATGACAGAATCTTTTCATTGCTTAACTTCTGGAAGCCAATGTATTCAGAGAAAAAATGCTAATTTTTTTCTCCAGCATACAAATTTGAAATTTAATAGGGATACTTCATAACTGATGCAAAGGTAAATCTTTTGTCAGTTTAGCCATCTTACAGAGTGAAATTTGTTCACACAAAAGTCCATAATTCAAAAGCAAGAAAGTTTTGAGCTCCTTCCAAATTCCCTCCTCCCTTTTTTATTTCTATATATCCATGAACGAAGAGGGGAATATTTTAGATTAAATGCTCTGTTCCCTGAATATTTACATGTTCAAACTAATGATAATGACAAGACGATATGCAGTTTTAAACTCGAGAAATATATTTTAATTTTTTCACTTAGAAACACCATAATGAAACGTGAAGTGAAATACATTAAATTTATTACAATATATTGTAAAATATATGTATTTAATGCTTGTTCAAGGAAGTAGGTAGATAGAAAAAGTTTTAACATAAAAATTTAATTATTTTTTGGTGAATTATAATTTATACAAAATATTTTCATATATTCCTTTTGCTAAGATATTTTTTAGTGAGGTTCAATAAATAATTTTTCTATTTCACTGCATACTTCTATGTCTACTTTAGAGTCTCCTGTTTTAAAAGATTTTACTATCAGTACTGGGAAATCACCGTTATCGAGATTTGACTGTACAGTACTCGCTGCTTATTATGTTCAAACTTCCAACAGTAAAAAAAAATACTAATTAACCCTCCGAGTGTTATGACCGGCTTTATCTGGTCATCAGAAGTTTTGCTACATGGCATATATTAGCTTATAAGTTAAGATATTTTACTTTCTTACTTCCTTTAATAATGTAAATGTCATCTTAAGGAATTTAAGTTTATGAAAATACAACCTAAAATAAATAATTATATGAACTCAATTAATAAATGCTGTTTAAATACCGATTTTCATGATGAATCTAAAATTATGTGCCGCTCAGAGGGTTAATAAAAGACCTGCCATTTTATTAAAGTCTCATTGGTAAAAGACCAATTCTTCAGTGCCACTTATCTTACTCACTTATCACTTATCTACTCACTTATCACTTATCTACATCTCGAGAAATTTGTCTAGTCAGCATTTCTGAAGCCATGCAAATGTGCAGGAACTTGTCACATATTGGCTCCAAACATAAAATGACAGAATCTTTTCATTGCTTAACTTCTGGAAGCCAATGTATTCAGAGAAAAAATGCTAATTTTTTTCTCCAGCATACAAATTTGAAATTTAATAGGGATACTTCATAACTGATGCAAAGGTAAATCTTTTGTCAGTTTAGCCATCTTACAGAGTGAAATTTGTTCACACAAAAGTCCATAATTCAAAAGCAAGAAAGTTTTGAGCTCCTTCCAAATTCCCTCCTCCCTTTTTTATTTCTATATATCCATGAACGAAGAGGGGAATATTTTAGATTAAATGCTCTGTTCCCTGAATATTTACATGTTCAAACTAATGATAATGACAAGACGATATGCAGTTTTAAACTCGAGAAATATATTTTAATTTTTTCACTTAGAAACACCATAATGAAACGTGAAGTGAAATACATTAAATTTATTACAATATATTGTAAAATATATGTATTTAATGCTTGTTCAAGGAAGTAGGTAGATAGAAAAAGTTTTAACATAAAAATTTAATTATTTTGGTGAATTATAATTTATACAAAATATTTTCATATATTCCTTTTGCTAAGATATTTTTTAGTGAGGTTCAATAAATAATTTTTCTATTTCACTGCATACTTCTATGTCTACTTTAGAGTCTCCTGTTTTAAAAGATTTTACTATCAGTACTGGGAAATCACCGTTATCGAGATTTGACTGTACAGTACTCGCTGCTTATTATGTTCAAACTTCCAACAGTAAAAAAAAATACTAATTAACCCTCCGAGTGTTATGACCGGCTTTATCTGGTCATCAGAAGTTTTGCTACATGGCATATATTAGCTTATAAGTTAAGATATTTTACTTTCTTACTTCCTTTAATAATGTAAATGTCATCTTAAGGAATTTAAGTTTATGAAAATACAACCTAAAATAAATAATTATATGAACTCAATTAATAAATGCTGTTTAAATACCGATTTTCATGATGAATCTAAAATTATGTGCCGCTCAGAGGGTTAATAAAAGACCTGCCATTTTATTAAAGTCTCATTGGTAAAAGACCAATTCTTCAGTGCCACTTATCTTACTCAAACTTATCAAAGCTTTTCGTAGTTTATTTATTTAATCTATTGTTAACCATGCCTATCATTCATGTATGTAATACCTTAATAAAATGAGATTAAAAAAATCTCTTCAGGATCAATTTTAAATCAGTTTTATAATTCGTTTGGAGAAAAAGATTCCTTTATTCTGTCCTTACGTACAGATGTCACACAAAAAAAATTGTTAAATTTTATTTGATAGCAGTCAAAATGGATATTTTCCTTGAAATTTGTACCCGGAATTTTTAGCAATTCCTTGTACGAAGTAAAGGAAGTATTGTAATCACAGCAAATAGTACTTTACTTCATACAAGGAAGTAAAATTGGCAAGAAAAGCTAAGTTTGTTAGAGGATTTTACAAGGTATGCTAAAAATTTTTTGAAAAACCTAGGTAAGCTAAAGGCAAAAACTGTACCTAAAAAGTTGTGATACACTGTGAAGACTGCATTGCTTCACTTTAATTTGCCTGGAGTGTTTCAATACAACACACTGCAAAATGTGCACATATTTAAACTTGCATGCTATATATAAATAAAATTATTTTTTTTGGGGGGGGATATGTTCTGTACTGCATTTTTTCTTCATGGCATTTTAGCAATGATGATAATATTGGAAAATTTATTTATCTTGGCTTCGACGGTCATCGATGTCCCTGATGGTGCTACGAGGAAACTCAATGCCAGTCTTCATAGCGCCATGGGGGACATCAATGACCAATAACATGCTTTATACCATTCAATGTGTTAAAAGTGAAACAGCAGCTGATTTAAGAAACTCAGAAAATAAGTTACCATGTTATTAACATGTAATATAGACTCAATAATTAGGAAGACAGCACTTGTTGTTGACAAAAATAGAAAACCTCGACATTTAAAAGGAGCCAAGAATTTACTAACTTAACCATAGCAACAAGTACTCATGGATAACAAATGCTATTTTTACCGATTTTCTTTTTAAACGGAACAGCAAACAGGAAAAGAAAAAAGGCTTTACTAATTAGATAACTGTGCAGCATATGTTTTTTTTTTTTTTTTTTTGAAAAACACTAGTGTCTCTTCCTGCAAATACAACTTCTAACATTCATCATTTAAGAAGTGGATTATAAACACTTTCAAATGTTATTCCATAAAGATATTCAGTACGTGGTAAAAAGAACTGAATTTTATGAAAATGCAAGTACTTTGAATGAGATAAGTTAAAAATCACCGCTAAAGTCCACACATATGAAAGGGATTAATCTTTTAAAATCAGTTAAAACTTTTTGAAAATTTGGCTTTTATGCAGAAGCTTCTGAGAAATTACAAACTATAACTAATGTTACAGGCATCAGTAAAGAAAAGTTCATTTTTATAATATACTGTGTCAATTAACAACAGTATTGGGACAATATATACAAAAAATAACCATGAAAGAATGCTGAAACTGACAGTGAAAATGACAACATACCATCATCAATCGAATCTAGAAAAATACTGCAAATTCTAAGAAAAGTTCCTGAACCAAACCTGATGAAAAAGGCTGTAGCAGTTTCATGAAATTGGAAAACAAAATGCTGTTGAACAATATGAAGCAAACACAGAATAGTTGTTAGTAAGAAATAAAATTTCGTGGAAAAAACATTTTTATAAAAAATTGTGTAAATATGATTAGTTTCACTATTAATTTTTAATATGTAGTTACTCTTCAACTTGAAAAGTGAAGAATTCGTATCATGGTTTCTAATGTACAAATCATCATCTCTGAAATTCAGCCACTTAATACACTCAAGTTTAAAAACAGAAGTGATTTTAAAACTACAAACATTTCAAACATATCTACTTTATTATACAGAATGCAAAGTCCAAAACAAAGAATAAACTTCCAGCTTTCACTGAGAATTTTACTGATAATTTAGTAACTCCTAAAACATGTTACAAGTAATTACGTGGTTGAAGACATGCATTTTTACAAAGATGGTATTTTAAATATGAAGAATGAGAAATATTTCTTATGCAAACTACAAATGAATTGCAATATGTGAAATATATAAAACTGGACATTTCGCTGAGGAAAAATGGCTCTAGATTAACTGGAAGATCCATCTGGTAAATCAATGGACTGAGAATACTGCGCTTTATTTCTGATAAGAAAATCTGCTAAATATTGTATTGGATCAGGAGGCCTAAAACATAAAATGAAGCATTTCATTATTCTAAACAAAACAAACTTTTAAATAGCCATCAGATATATATTTTTACAAAGACAGTAGCAAATAATCTTTCAATGTAATACACAGTCAAAAGTCTTTAATCCAGACTCGTCGGGACTTCGGCGATTCCGGATAATCGATTTTTCTCGATTACAGATCATCCGTTTAAATTTGGTAAATTATGAAATTAAAAATATGAAACCATAATTTATGAAATAAAGAACAATTATAATCTAAAGGGTATCAAAATTTACAAAAAAAAAAAAAAAGCTTGATATTTATTTGTTTACTTTATTAAACATTTCTTTCAATGTAAGTTGTTTAAGTTGCTTGGTTTTATGTGACAATACTGTTAGCATTTAATTAGTTCCTTTATTAAAAACACATTCCATCAAACATTAATTGTTAAATACTCGCTTTATTCAGAAACATTACCGTCAACATTACTGCTCAAAAAACAAAAAAACATTACAGTTCAAATTGTTATCGTTCTGAAAAAAACTGTTGTTGCCAATCGGGAAAATACATTTTAAATAAAATTAATACGTTGCATTTACATTCGGGCATCCTGACTTAGTTACGACCTCGGAACATTAAGAACTTATATTTAAAAAAATTAAATCTGTAATATTAATGTTTATTAGTTCGAAAGTCTTTAGCTGTCATATAGATTCACCGTTGTTTTCTATTCTTTTTCCGTGTCCTAGTTTTAGTAATATGCGGCGTGTTGTTATCGTTATCCCCAGTAACACTAATGTCATCACCATCATCTTCTTCTGATTCAGCTTGACACTGCCATGACTTTAATTGGCTCACATGAGCTGTCGTACTAAAGAAATGTTCTTTCACCTTCTCTTCTAATTGAGTCACTCTATAGGTATCACTTGGTAAAACTTCTGTAACTACCAAAGGTGCTCGATACTTTTGTTGTGTTTTGGTTGATTCTCCAGTTGATTTAGGTACTCTTCTCATAACTACTATTTCTCCTCGTTCGAATGTTAAAGAATTGCTTTCTTCTTGTCATAATTTGCTTTCATTTTCATCTGCATATCTTCAATTCTCTTTCTAGCTTCATTCTGTAAGATTACTGGATTCTCCCATTCATTCTGCGTCTTCATCTGTAATCATCCTCATCAATCCATCGTTAAATTTTGGTGAATAACCGTGAAGCATTTCGAAAGGAGTTTTATTTGTAGTCTTATTTAGCATATTGTTTAGATTTCTTTCGCATTCCTTAATCTTTTTGTCCCAGTCTCTCTGATTCGGATTTTCCATACTCGTTTTAATCGTAGCCAAAATTGTTCGATTTGCTCTTTCCACCATTCCATTACCACTTGGATGTTGAGTTGAATTGAGTATATGACTGATTCCATTATTTTGACAGTACTCTCAAAATTTCTTCGCTGTGAAACATGTTCCTCTATCGCTGATAATTTTTTCTGGTAACCCAAAATCATCTACAAAACTCTTCAATGCAACTAACACATACTTGGTTGCAGTATTTTTCATAGGATATAAGCATGTAAATCTCGTAAAATTATCAATTATTACAAATAATTCTGTATTTACTCTTGAAGTTTTTACGAATGGTCCTAAATGATCTATATGTATAATTGCAAACGGTCTTCTACCAGGTCTAACTGGATGCAGTACTCCTTGTTTCTTACCACTAGGCATTTTATTTACTAGGCATTCGAAACACATCGAAATGTGACGCATAACATATCGTTTCATTCCTTTAAACCAGTATGATTCCTTGATTTTGGCAACAGTTCTGTCTGCTGAAAAATGTCTCAAAAGATCGTGAAATTTTACCTTTTCTCATCGATTTAGGTATGACATATAACAATTTCTCCTTTTCCTGATCTTTCACTTTACGAAACAATCGATTATTCTTCAAGACGTAATTTTCAGTTACATATTTCTCTGCATTCGTTCTATCATTTATCTTTTTCTTTAAAATGTCTATTAATTTGCGTAATTCTGGATCTGAATGCTGAATCATAAGAATTTGTTCATCTATCGTTAGCGTTAAACAAACTTCCAAGTTGTTTTCAATTATAGAGTCTAAAGTTTCTTCTGGCTGATCAACTGGCGATCGGCTCTGCATCTATGTGACTCATTCTTTTGCCTTTGCCTGTGCTTTATTTCAAGATTGTATTCTTGGATCAAATTACTCCACTTTGCTATCTGAGGATTTGAAGTTTTCTTCGCGTTTAAATAAACTAAAGCTTGGCAGTCTGTAATTACCGTAAATCGGATTCCAATTAAAAATTCGAAGTCGTCAAAGTCCAAACTATAGCCATTAATTCTTAATTTGCTTGAATGATAATTCTTTTCTGTTTCTGTTGTTCCTTTACTTACACAATAAACTAAATGCCAAACTTTCTATCTTCACCTTTTTTGCAACAGCATTCTTGCCAGTCCTTTGTTGCTTGCGTCTGTGTGCACTTCAGTTTCTGCTTCGGGATTATATAATGCTAGTATTGGTTCATTAGTTAAATGATCCTTTAAAGTACTGAATGCTTCTTTGCTGATCTTCGTTCCAACGAAATGTTTCATCCTTCCTCGTCAGTCTCGTTAAGCGGCTCAGCTTTCTCTGCGCATATTTCGGTACAAACCTTCTAAAGAAACTTGTAAAGACCTAAAAATTGTTTAACTTCATGTTCATTGGTTGGTTTAGGAAAGTTTAATATGGCTCGTACTTTTCTTGGTCCAGGTTGCATACCATTTGATTTTATTAGAAATCCCAAATATTCAACTTCATCTTTTCCAAATTCGCATTTTGTCAGTTTCAATGTCAGCATTGCTTCTCTCAATCTATCAAACACTTTCCTAAGTTTTTCCATCATTTCTTCCCAAGATTTAGCCGGAATTATTATGTCGTCCAAACAGCACAATACTTCTTTATTAAGCAATGGACCTAAAACTTGATTCATAAGTCTTTGAAATTCTGCAGGTGCATTAGCTAACCCAAAGATCATATGTTCAAATTGACCAGTATCATCTGGAGTGATGAAAGCTGTTTTCACTTTCGCTTCTTCAGTTAAAGGAATCTGCAAATATCCATGAGCTAAGTCCAATGTAGTGAAAACTTTACACTCACTAAGACATTTAAGAAGATCATCTATCCTAGGGAGTGGAAATTTATCTTTAACAGTTTGCGAATTCAACTTTCTATAATCTATCACTAATCGTAATTCACCTGTTTTTTTCTTTATGAGTAAAACTGGACTAGCATACGGAGATCTTGTTTCAGTAACAATTCCATATTTCTTCCATTCATTTATTATCTTCTTTATAGAAGCACGCTCTTCGGCATTGGTTTTATACGACTTCATGCAAATAGGCTTACTCCCTTCAATTTCTTTAATATCCATTTTTGTTAAGTTTGTACACCCTAATTCCTCCATATTTAATGCAAAACAATCTCGATATTCATTTATCAAATGTAAAACTTCCTGTTTTTTTCTCTGGCGTAATATTGTTATTCACTTTAATTTCTCCTAAAGTAATCGGTCTCCTAAACTTCTAATTTCATTTATTATCAGTATTTCCTTTTGACTTGAATTTTCAGTTTTCTGATCTGAACTTGGTTCAACTAATTCTGCTACTTCCGCTCTACCGATACATTGATTCTCTTTCAAAATTAGTTTTCGATCGCTGTAGTTAATGACTGGTATCACAGTTTCTCCCTGTATTACTTCCAATAATGAGCCTAACTCATCTTCCGATCCACTTATTAAAACATAACCGTTATTTATTTCATCAGTTTTAACTTTCACGAAATTAACCGTATTACTTTCGATTTGAGTTTCTTGGGAAGCCTTCAGTTTAATTCGCGGAGTGTTGCTATCATTTTGCAACTGTGAAAATGGGCAAGTCATTAGCATAGCGTATGTGCAAGGTATTACCTATCTTGGCGTATGCAATATGTGGTAAATCAATCCATGTTCGACCAACTAATAAGTCGCATGGTTGCGTTTCATCTCCTACAATTAGAACTGTAATGTCCTTTCCTTCCACATTATCAATCTCTAAGTTAACAGTTACTTTTCCCAATGTTCTAGCGGCTGGTTTACTCTGGTTCCCAAAGCCAAACAATTCCTATCCACATCAGGTTTTATAATAAGATTCAGTCTCTTAGCCGCAGACTGTTTCAATAAACACGAACTAGAACCCGTATCTATGATTGCAGTAATTTCTTCCCCATTATTGATGCGAGCATACTTTAAATATACAGCTGGTGAAACACCTGAATTCTGGTCCACGGATAAATTATTTTTAACATTTGTCAAGTCTGGATTCTTAGACGTACACTTTTTAAAAGTATGACCCTTTTCATTACATTTCCTGCAAATAATTTCTTTTTTAGGTTGAGGACAATCCGTCGCTATATGTCCATAATCATTACAATTGAAGCATTTCGGCTCACCCTTTTCCTTGCGGATGCCAGAATTATATTCCCTTTTCCTTTCGTCTGTTTTATAAAACTTATCTCTCAGATTGTATTTATTATCAAAACTGTTTTTAAAACCCACTTTGAAATTACCATCTGTCTGCATGGAATCGTTAACATTTTTCTTTGTCTTGAAAACTGATTATAGGATCCTTCATAAAAATTTAGAACCAGATTTGGGCTTAGAATTATGCCTAAAAGTTTTATTTTCTACTTGAAGTACTTTTATCCCTGCCCAAATATTTTCATATTCATCTAGTTTTTCAGCCAACTCTTCAGGATTAATGAATTTAGACCAATCATCAATGAAATGGTCTCGGATAGCAGTGGGGATCCTTTTCTTTAATTGATCAGTAATAATAAGTTGTTTCAAAGAGTCAAAATCTGTTACATTTAATCCAGCAAGCCACTCTTCAAAATAATTTTTTAATTCAAACGTGAAGTCCTTCCAGGTATTACGCAAAGTTTTAATATGATCAACGAACTTTTGCCGAAACTGTTCAGGGCTTAACTTAAATTTTCTCAGTAGCAGTTGCTTAACGTGCTTATAGTCATTAGCTTTCTCTTCATGGGCAATTAATTGAGTTATTTCATAAGGCAATAGACCCAACAGCTGAGAAACCCAGCTTTGTTCTTCTAACCCAATACGTCGTGCCTGTCAAATAAAACTAGATAAAAACTTATATCACCTTCATTCAAATCATACTTATGCATTAATTTACTCATATCACAAATATTACTTCTACTAACATTAGAAGGAACAGAATCATTTACATTTATACTTCTGATTTCCGCTTCTATTTTCAATTTTTCAAGTTCAAATGTTCTTTGCTTATCTTTTTCTTCCATTTCAAATGCTCTTTGCTTATCTTTTTCTATAATTTCCATTTCAAATGCTCTTTGCTTATCTTTTTCTATAATTTCCATTTCAAACGCTCTTTGCTTATCTTTTTCTATAATTTCCATTTCAAACGCTCTTTGCTTATCTTTTTCTATAATTTCCATTTCAAACGCTCTTTGCTTATCTTTTTCTGTTTCTAAAATTTCTAACTTTTCCCTGTCTAAACGATCATTTATAATTCTATCTAGCATTTGTTTAGTAAAGTCTTCGTTATAATTCTTACTATTAAAAATCCTATCTCTTAAGCCTACAATTTTAATATCAGAAGGGACATCTACATCAAGTTCCAAAGCAAGTTCTTTTAAATCACATTTTTTGCCTCTTGCCAAATAAGCCATCTTGGACTTAAAATTTTCAAATAATAATACAATAATTATACTAAGTTCTTTCCGTTTAATACTTAGACATAACATAACAGTTTATAAATTCAAGCACCTTTCTACTTTCAGTTTTGGCGAGCTTCCGCATTCAGTTTAGGCTTAGCGTACGTTAAGGCAATACATTGTTAAATCTAGATAATAATTCTAGTTTATCCCACTTCTGAAATGTTAGCAATTAGTTCGTTTATTAAAAACACATTCCATCAAACATTAATTGTTAAATACTTGCTTTATTCAGAAACATTACTGCTCAAAAAAACATTACAGTTCAAATTATCGTTCTGAAAAAAACTGTTGTTGCCAATCGGGAAAATAAATTTTAAATAAAATTAATATGTTGCGTTTACAATACTTTCTCTTTAATTCTATAAACAGACATAATTTCTTGTTCAGTTACAAATTTCCGCTGTTCAAGTCCTATAATTGCTGTTTCGAGAATACAGACTAATTTATCAATCGAAATTTATTCGTTTTCAATAACCTCTTTGTCACTTTCTTCAGTATCGGAAGTGAATTATAATGACGAGGAATTTGATTTAAATCATATCAAAGAGGGAGTACATCAAGATGAAATACTACATTTAGTAAGGAATTATAAGACAAATAAAATAAAAACATCTGCCCTGAAGATAAGGATAGTGCTGACAGATCAACTTCCAGTTCAGTGCGGGCCGCGATGATCCCTCCCCCACACAGAGTGTGGAATTGATAAACAGGTTTTGGAATGGTTAGAGAAACAAAGGATATGCCTTTATCCATTTTTTTGCAGCAATTCCACTTTTTGTTAGATGGACATCGAAACATACTTTCGCTTTGTAGATCCTTTGGCAGCTCCAGAATCAGAAACTTTTTTTTGACATAATCGAAAGTTAAGCTTACTTTTTATAAAATTGCTCTAACAAAAAATAATAAGCCGGATCCAATTAGGAGATTAAGGAACAACACAATCTGCAACAGTAACTGAAATAGATAATTAGATAATTTTAGCCTAGCTTATACAGTCTGTTATACATTAAACACGCATGCATAAACGTATTATGCGCATGTGTAAACACCTATGCGCATGCGTGAACACATTATACATTGACGCATACGCAGAAAGTTTGTAGCTTTGAGGTCCGGATTAACGACTTTTGACTGTATAATGCATAGTGAAAAGAATATAATATGCAATAAATATCTCAAAAATTCTACATTGTATTAACCACACCTAACTAAATAAAGTATCAAATCTTCATTTGATTAATTATTAATATGTTGAAAACATTGGTACTTATGTACTATTGCAACCATCTTAGTAGTAGCAGCCAAACTTTCAAAAAACACCAAACTCTCACAAACTTGCCCATAACCATTCTTCCGACAACCAATGGTCATTCATAATAATCATTTTAGTCAAGCAACACTGCCATTTTTGTATTCCAAGTTCCAACGATTTTTATACAGAAATCATGCTTTTTTTGCCTTAAAAAATCAGTTTTGAAATATAAGCTTGAGGAATTCACCCACAATGGAAGAAACTACGGTAAAATTTTGGCAGTAATACAGAATTTTACTGAAAATTTTCTAACAATGAGGAAATGCATTTTCTAAATAGCTGCTGTTGCCAAAGACTGCACAAAGCCAAATTTCTGCAATTCTTAGATGTTTTTCTTTTAAGTGAAAACAGATTGCTGTGTACTTCGGGAGAAGAATAATGAACAAAAATTTACAGAAAGTTTCGAAGAATGCAGTTTATTTTTAAAATGTACGATATAATCCTTATTTAGTAATTCAGATTTGTACTTAAAACTGCTGCTGTATGTTTTCTTTTAATATACTGATACTGTTTACCAAACTTACTATAAATATCGACAGCTCAGGAATCTAAAAAAAATTCGCAAAAAACACTTTCATCCTAAAAAAAATCACTAAATTGTGCCAAAATGGTTGGGATAGTATACAAGTACCAAAAAAAAAAATTATGATAATAAATTCCACAGATTAATACTCAAAACTAGTTTTAACATTTAAATTGTTAACAATTTTAAGACATAAAACTTAAAATTCTTTTAAATTAAAAATATTTCTTTACTTAATACAAAAATTTACTCTCAACTGAACCAATGATAAAATTTAAGTCACCCTGGATTTTTTTTTCAAATTAGCCATTTTTAAGTAATTTTACACAAGTATTACAATAATTATTTATACTCAAGAATAAATGCTAAAAACAAGTATGCTCTTAAAGATTTTTAAAGCATAATTTGCATCTTATATATTAAAAATATTAATTTGAAATATGATGAGTGCTATCAATTTTTTTTATGCATACCTTTCTCTTGCAAGGGCAGAGAGTGCCTGAAGTAAAATTGGTACCACAGTTGCATCAAGGTAAGGCCGCGTAGCTATTGCATTGTAATCTACACGTGGCTTTTTCGGAATTGCTTCAGAAGATTCTTTTTCAGCAGAATTTGTTTTCTACAAGCATGACATACATTACCAAGTAAAAATGTGAGAAAAAATAAATTATATTTCATATAGTAAATACATAAACTCTAAAAAAAACACATTATGCTGAGAATAATAGCAAATTTGAATAGGATACTAAATATTGTTAAAAAATAAACAGCTATTTTCATAAATTATTCTTGGCTTTTATTAACTGCCTGAAATGTCATTCTTCACTTTTAAAATTTTAAACTAACTCATAATTAAAAATAGTAAGTTTTACTGGAAAACAACTGAAACTTGGTAAGAAATTTATTTTGATGTTTATCTTACTCTATATTACATATGCTATATTAATATTATATTTAAGTGTTATTAAAATATAGCACCATTATATAACTAATTTAAATATTTTCATTTATAAAATAACCCCTTAACTCCCGCAGGCATATGTATATATACATCCTTCCGAAATGCTATCATTTGCTTTGCGCTGCTGCCAGTAAAATTCACAAATATTTGGAATGTAACACTACAATGACTTTGAAATTGAAAATGCATGCAAAGGAAGACACTATTTCAGAGAAGAGTTTTTCTGTTTGAGTAAAACATATTTTTTTATTCTGTGTCTTCCGTTTTCATTTACTGTTTGTAGTAGGTGCTTTTTTACGAATATGTCTGACAGTGATGACGAATGACTGTGCAGTTATCACTTAAAATTACTTTTTTTTTATTCTTAAAACTTACTTTTATTATTATTATTACTTTTTTTTTACGAATATGTACGACAGTGAAAGAGATGACTACTTTCCGTCATCTTCAGGATCGGACACCTCAGAATATGATATTACGTCAGATGAAGAGAGTTGCAACTATTCTCTGAAAGATGCTTTTCATATCAAGTCGTTAGAACGACTCCAAGTATATTTATTTCCTAAGTATCACTGCTCGGATAATAGACAAAAACTTGAAATTTCTACCATTTACACTAATACACTACTGTAAATGAAATTTTACATTTGGATCCGACTATTGTAAAAAAATGAATTTTTACTCAGATCATTCTAATTATGCATAAATATCACATAGCAGGGAGGGGGTTACCAAAAATTTTAGCAGTTTTGATATTTCTTTAACTTCTTATAATAATTTTACAATTACCAAATATTTTTACACAATGTATCTGAAAAATATAAAGATAAGACAATGCAGTTTTAGAAAAAGGAAAAAACGAAAACATTTCCACACATCCTTTTTATAATATAAACATTCATTTTCCTTGCTTTGCACATAACGCTGTCATTTCGTCTGTTACTTATTTAAAATTTTCACATTGTTCTGTCTTAAAATTAGAAATTAATTACCTAAAAAACTGCAAAAGTATATTAAAGTACAAGTGAAAAAAATTGACGATTTCATTCACGCACATGTCAGATTTGTGCAATACTAATGGGGTCCGACAAAATTTTTGTAAATATTATAGGGCCACGAAAAAATCTCAGTAATAAAAGGGGGTCGCAACTGAAGAAAGTTTTAAGAAACCCTGCTGTAGAGCATATATCAAATCTTTCTTGAGTCTCTCAGTCATATCAAATATGTTTTAACATGCGACACAATCGCAAAATACGATCACACTGCAGTTCTGATAACCTTGAGATAAAACAGAAGACAGAGGCTTGCATATTAGCAGCAATGTCTCACTTCTAGCAAAAGTAAATATAAAAAAATGACTGCTTCTATCTCGCTTTATTATTCTTTACATGAAAAAAAAATCCTGCAGTACTATTAAATGTTATATATAATTATTGTAATGATTTAAAAGTCAAAACATAAGTAAATATCATATATATATCTATATATATTTTATTTACTAAAGAAATACTGATTATATTATCTCCTAAGATTAATTTTAGTAGAATTATCTAATAAGAGTGAATCCATAGTTAGTAAGTTAAATTCCAATTTTGCTGAATTGCCATCCGATTGCGACTCAAATGCTTCAGATGAAATTTAAATTAAAGAGAGAATAGCTGATGTTGAAGTTATTGCTGTAGAAGAAAGGGATATCTGACAACGAGGCTGAGTTTGCAAAACCCTCAGAGTCTTCTGTTCTATGCTGGAACAAAAAAGAAGTTGATATTTCACTACCAGAATTCAAAGATTCGGGACCGACAGGTGAGATTTTTAATTTGGATGATCCAACACCTGTAAATTTATTCCTAAGTATATTCACACTTAAGTTTATTGTTTTTCATTCAAACTTGTACATAACACAGAAAAACAGTGCGTTTTCCCCTCTTGAGAGGGACGAGTTTTTGCAAGAAACTTAAGTTTATTGTTTTTCAATCAAACTTGTACATAACACAGAAAAACAGTGCGTTTTCCCCTCTTGAGAGTAACGAGTTTTTGCGATTTCTCGCTGTACATTTGCTAATGGGCGTAAAAAAGTTTCCAAGTTATCGGGACTACTGGAGAAGTACTCACTTTGAATCACAGAAGACTATTACATGATGATTATATAGCAAACATAATGTTGGTTCAGTTGAATATTGGGGGAAAATGTTAATTGTTTACAACCTAAGAGAGGGGAAGCTAATTTTGATAAGCTATACAAAATAAGACCTCTTTTAAATCAGAAAGGTTTAATGGCAGTTTTTAATCCCAATGAAACTCGGGCAGTTGATGAATCAACGATTCGCTTCAAAGGGAGAAGCAGCCTAAAGCAGCATATGCCTAAAAAACCCATCAAACGCAGTTACAAAGTATGGATGTGATGCAATGTCATTGGATTTGCATGCCAATTTGAAATTCATACTGGCAAACTCGCTGACTCTGTCGAAAAAAATCTAGGCAAGAGAGTAGTGAAAACTTTGTGCCAGCCTCTTTATGGTAAGAACCATAGAGTTTTTATGAATAACTACTTCAGTAGTTATAATCTGTTTCACTTTTTAAAGACAGAGAACATCTATGCATGTGGCACTGTAAATATGAATCGGAAGTATCTACCCAAAAATTTAAAAGAAGACAATTTATGTCAAGAGAATATATAGACTTTTCAGTTAGCGATGATTCAATTTATTGCATAAAATGGAAGGATAAAAGATCCGTTTCTATCCTGTCTTGCTTGGAAAAGGCAACTGAAATGAAAGAAATTAATAGAAAGGAACGAGATGGAAAAACAAAAAAAAAAAAAGTACTGTGCCCAAACAGCATTATTTCATACAATAAGAATATGGGATATGTCGACTGATTGATCAACTGAAAGGACTATATGAAATAGACCGCAAAAGCAAGAAATGGTGGCACATGATTTTTTTTTTTTTTTTTTTTTTACTTTTTAGATGCGAGTATAGTAAACACATTTATTCTATTTAAGTTTGTTCGCGAACCTGATCATGATGTAAAAACAATGAAAGGATTTTCTTCTCTCAGTTATAGAAGGTCTAATGGCACTTGCAGGCAAGAAAGAGCTGAAAAGAAAACTGAAATCCCCAGTTCAAATAAAAACTAAAAAACCGTTCGTACAACCAGAAAAGAGACTAAAAAATGTAAGTAAAACGCCAAAGAGAACGAGCAGGAGAAGATGTGCATATTGCAGCACATCGAAAGAAGAACGACGAACATTTTGGATGTGTGAAACATGTGAAGTGCCTCTATGCTTACAAAAGAATGAAAAACATGTTTTTTCAAAGTTTTCAATGATCAAATGACTTTTTTCAAGTGCCAATTTTAATATTTTATTTAGTATCATATGTACGAGTATCAAATTTTAATCTTAAAATAATATCCAAGAAAATATTTTCTTTTGTTCCTAAAATTTAAAAATATTAAATATATGTGCATATGCAAAATTAAATTTTAATGTGTTTACTATTAATATTTTAGAATGCATACTTTATTTTGTTTATTCATTCCACATGATTTTTTTTTCCCTGCTATACACTAATATGCTATAAGACATGTGCTAAGTGCACGGTGGGTATCCCACCTTCTGTACAAAATAAAAGCGCAGAATTTTTTTCAAGCCTGAAAGGCACTTAAGTCCATTTGACTTATTCTAAGGCATTTTTTTAAACATTAAAATATATTTTAAATATGCCTGTCGCAAAGGGTTAATAAACAGGCATGACAGCCATACAAACTGAATACAAGATGCTGAAAATGCTGCTTGATTTGAGCTACATGTAACTAAGACTTTTTTTAAGACCGTCAAAAAATCAGCGCTGAATAACTGATATGGTATTATGCAGACGTATCAAATTTATAGATAATTACGACATGGATTTACAAATATTATTCAGAATATGATTAAGACAATTTTATAAGAGGAAATAATTACTTGTTGCTTTTCTTCCGAAGGAGCACCTTCTTTAGCCACAGCTTCTGTTTGGGCACCAGCGTTTTCTTGCTCGGCTGCAGTGTACGAGAACAATAAATAATAAAACTAAATTAATGACACTTAATTTGTTAATCACAGACATTATGAAATTATTTTATTTTTAGCACACTGACACGGCTCTCTTTTACGCAACACAACGAACACACTACGCGGAAAAATATTCCACGAACGTACAACTTGCAATTTCAATTTAATTCTAAAAACTGATAATGAACAAATGTTAAATCCCTACAGCGCAAGATACATAAATAAGCGTAACACACTTATTTCTAAATTACATTTAGATAGGCTTACCTTCTTCCATTTTTTTAACCACAAACGGTAACGTAAGCAGATGCCACTAAAATAGGTGAGAATAATCGGTTTGAATGCTGGGTTGGGTTCGCCGGTCAGGACAGCCGCTATTGGACAAAAAATGCAAAGTTTCAAAAGTAACATTTCACTTCAGTAATTTCCCTCTCTCTTTTGTAATTCTCAAATAATGTAAAAATAAAAGAAATCTTCTAGAACATAATTTCATTTTAGATTATAATTAATTAAAATTTGCAACATGTGTCTGTACAAGACTCCCCGTTTTTTATCCCTCAGAACTGTAACTAAAATATAAATTTTATTATTAATGTGTGAATTAAACTTGAAAATTTTGAATAGAAGTTTGCAACCAAGTTTTCGAAGTGCTATTGAATTTGAAAAGTTACCAAAGATAGGTATTCAGTGTCATTTTTATATGAGAGAAAGTAAATTGAATTAAATCTCTTCGAGCATAACTGCGTGATTGAAAGATGCGATGGCACCTTTCGGCTCAGTTCTGTGAAAAGAGTGAGAGCATGATGAATAACGGCATGCTAAACAAAACTCATGATCCTCGAGCGTGATCCCTCGTAGATATAGTTTAAATGTGAATTAATATAAATATGCGAAGTTAAATAAAGAGAATGCGAATAGTCCACTGCAGAATTTATTGAAGTGAGTTATCATTTTAGCTAAAATAGCAGCACCTCTATTTTTAGATAAATTCTAGATGTACGCTGAAATTGAAAACCAAAAATGGTATCCAATTTTTATTTCAGTAAAAATATAAAAATTTCTTTACTAAAATAAAAATTAAATACACAGTATTATTTTGGAACGAATGGATGGCTTTGAATAGTTTTGTGGCGTGGTACACATGTGCTTCTTCTTCGAATGGTGAAACTACCGAAATACTTGGCAACCGGTGCGGCAAATGAATTTATTGAATTTCATCGTCATATGCACCATTTTAATAGCAGCAGATAATACAAGATCCCCAATCCAGATTTAGCAGTTCCGTATGAAAGTTAGCGCGTATATGACGCGAGTAAATACACTCGTGATAAAAAAATAAACAACAAACGTTAAAAAAAAAGGTACCAATGTAAAAAGCAGAATTGAAGCATACAATTTCTATACGAGATACAGGCTGCATAGCCGAACGTAATTAGGTAACAAAAATTATCATAAAACGCAAACCTGAAGTCACACCACAACGTCTTAAAAAAGGATATACTAGAATTATGCGTCAATGAGATACATTTCGCAAGAGAAGAAGAGGAAGAATGACTTGCTTGTTTGCATTAGCTGTACATAAGTCACCTATATATCACGCATGTTGTTACAAAGGATACAATCATGTAATGTTACGAATTTCTATCTGCAGCTAATTTTTGAGAAAGAAAAGTCTTATTTAGTGTTTTCCCGTGCAACTGTGCACCCCCGATTTATTTATTTTCCAAAACCGACGGTCCAAAATATTCGAACACCGGTACCCTATCAGAAAATGACAAGATGGCGTTTTTTTTCTCTTTCTCTCTGTGTGTCGTGTTATTCCATCCTAGGTTTTCTTCTCCCCCCCATCTTGGAAAAAACTGGAAAAAATTGGTCACGATCTCTTTTTGAATGGGGAGATGCCATTTTGAGAAAAAGCTGACGACCCTATCTTGGAGAATGAACATGACCGCTCTACACACCCTTTCACTCTCTCTCTCTCTCTCTTTGAATTGGGAAGCCATTTTGGGAAAAAGCAGACGACCCTATCTTGGAGAATGGAAATGAACGCCTCTCCCTCTCTCTTTGAAATGGGAAGCCATTTTGGGACCCTCTATTCTTGGGGAGGGAGAAAACTGAAGTCTGCATTTCGCTGTCTCTGAATGCGGAAAGCCCTTTTGGGAAAAGCGGACCCTCTTCTTCTGATCTTGGAGAACTGGAAATGAACGCTCTACACGATCTCTCTTTGAATTCAGAAGGTATTTTGGGACCTTCTAATGTTGGAAAACTGAAATGAACGCTCTACGCTTTCTCTCTCTCTCTCTCTCTTTGACATGAGTAGCCATTTTGGAGGATTCTCCACCACCATCCTAACCTTGGAAAACTGAAATGAACGCTCTACGCATTTTCTCTCTCTCTCTCTCTTTCTCTGAAATGGGTAGCCATTTGAAAACTCCCTAACTTTGGAAAAAAACAGAAATGAACGCTCTACACCATCTCTCTTTGAAAATGGGGGGGTGTCATTTTGAGACCTCCCTCCCCTAAACTTGGAAAAAAAACTGAAATGAACGCTCTACACTTTCTCTCTTTGGACATGGGTAGCCCTTTGGGGACCCTCTCCTCTTGGTAGGAAAAAAAAAGAACTGAAGTGAAGGCTCTACACAATCTCTCTTGGAATGGGATCCATATTTCGGGAAACGTGGATCACCTCATGCTGGAAAACTGAAGTGAACCACCAAGATTGGACTCTATATATAATATTTTTTTTAATTGACATCATGACCCTCCTCCAATTTGTTATTAAAAAATTTTTTTTTTTTTTGTTTTGGTTTTTATCCCATTTCCGATGTGATTTCAGAAATGCAATTCCATAACAGTTCAATTTCATTCGAGGTTAAATGATCTAAACAGTCTTTGACCCACCCATCCGTATGATTATTTTCTTCTCCTTCCTGTTGCACCAAATTTTGTAAGTCCATATAATCATTCCATACGGGAAGGGCTGGATCCTCACAAGGCTGTCTTGAAACACTTGGAGTCTCTTTGGGATGAGTGGAGGGATCTAGGATGTCTGGACCCGGCTGCGATTCTACCTCCATGATTTCTGGACCCGTTGGAACTTGTTTACCCGGCTGAAATTCTACCTCCATGATTTCTGGACCCGTTGGAACTTGTGAACCCGGCTGTGATTCTGCCTCCATGATTTCTGGACCCTGTTGGAACTTGTGGACCCGGCTGACATTCTACCTCTACGATGTCGGGACTTTTTGAAGCTTGTGGACCCGTCTGACATTCTACCTCTACGATGTCGGGACAGGTTGGAGGAGAAGAAGAAGAAGAAGAAGAGGATACTGGAAGAGGTTCTGTCTGTGAGGAGTCCGAAAGAGGTTGCCTGTTTGAACAAGTCGGGGAAGAAGAAGAAGAAGAAGAAGCTTCTGGATTCTGAAGCGGATCTTGCACGCCAGGTAGGTTCCGGTAAGTCGACCGTTTTTTAAGAGGTAATTTTTTTTCTTCCTCCTCATCTTCAATTGTGATGACTTCAATTTCATTCCGTTGCCGGGTCGATTTTGTTTCGGGCCATGACGGTTTGGTCCAGCTCCTCTTATCATCTAAGGAAGGGATGGGTAAAGGTGGCGGAGGGGTTCTCTTCTTCTTTTTCTTGAAACATCATCGGCGATTGGAAAGAAATCTCCTCTTTCAATTGTTTCCAAAGCGAGTACGAGCACCGATCGACGAGAAAGAGACTCTTCTGGGTTGTGACGATGAGATATTGCGTTTTCGGGGGAACGACATAGTTTTGAAAAGGTCTTAGAATATATTTCTTATATTTCATCCTGTCGCTGACTTTAAAACTTCTTTCCTTCAGATTGGGGGACGATGATTCGTAATAGGCGAGAGGAGCGGCTGTGGTTTGAACAATATGAACTTCGTCCTCAGCCGTCGTTCTCACTCCAAACGTAAAATATCGTTTCGTGAGAAAAATATTCTTCCACCGAAAACTCGTGCGCGGATCCGTATATCGCCGGTCTGTTTGAATGGGCCGTCTCAAAGCTCGATCCATCCGATTCCAAGAGAAGGGAGATTCCTCTTTCGTTTGTTGCGATTCGAATAAATTTCTGTATATATTCTGAACGAGCAGGTTGGAGGATTCGACATCTTGGTTGAAAGAAACGATCGCTTGATGAGGTGGTAAATGCGGAATAAATGTCGCACAATGACACGCCAAAAAAAATTTTCAAGTTGGAGATTTGCTTTAGCGTCTTCAAATCCTCCCCGTTCGAAATCCGTTGAGTTGGAAAAACGTCTAACAGCGACATGGCTCCCAATGGAAAAGAAATGATCTCGCCCAGTACTCTCGCCTTTTATATATCTATATAGATACACACAGACACACATAGAGGCTCTATGACGTCCGTTTTATTTGTTTTTTTTTTTCTCTCTCTCTCTTCTTTCCAAGAAATCTTATCTCCATGACCTCTTTTTCTTTTCTTAAAAAGATGAATGTGTGTGGGAATGAGGAAGTGAAAGTAATAATTTAATAAACAAAAAATTATCCAACCATGACCTTCTTTTTTTTTTTCAAAGTCACCCTTTCCAATCCAAGGACGTCCAGAGATAGAGGAAGCAGGGAGAGAGGAGGAGGAGGGAAGGGAAGGTCACACTCTCTTTCTCTCTATAAATAAAAGGGGAGAGCCCCAAAGTCGTATTTTTGTCCAAGTGGATCATGAGGAGGCATCCCCAGCTCACTACGTGTATTCCTTTCAAATATAAATATGTTGATCTTTCCTTTTATATCATCCAAGGAGTCGTTTACCTGAAAGCCTCCGATTTTTCAAAATGTGCGGGTTATTCATACCGTGGGGAGTTATCAAAAGATGCGGGACGAATTTTTGTCCGACGAAAACGTGTTGATGGCTCGTGACATTCCACCTTTGGATGCACAAATTTTGTTAATGAAACGAGCCAAATATTTTTACACGTCCCACTTTCTAACCGTCTCGCAAATGAATAGGATTATGGATCGTCTTGAGAAGACAAAAGGGATTCTCGTTCATTTTAGTGAATGGTTGCACAAATGTTTGCACGAACCTCTCTCGATCGAGAAGACTGGGAAGAATACCTATTATATTCTTCTCGAGGACTCTCCTCCTTCGTCTCATCTTAGAGAGGCCACGACTTTTGAAAAAATCCTCGAGCAAGAAAAAATAGAATGGTGGAACAACTACCCCATCCCTCTCCCCGAGCATCAAGAGGAGCCTGTTCAGAAGAAAAAGAAAAAACCTTTCCAAAAGCCTATCCTCATCCTCCTCGATAATGATGGGGATGAGGAGAAGCCTGTTCAGATTCCTCTCCGTTTGTCAAAACCCGTCGAGGATGAAAAACCTCTCCCTTCCTCAAAACCCCTTGAGGAAGAGAGACCCCTCGAGAA